CAGGCGCGTGAAGAGCCGAACGGAGCTGAAGGTTTTTTCGTCTGATTATTCTCGAACCGTCGTGCGTGTAAATTTTATCCTCCCGTGATGTCGGATTTAGTGTGTCATAACGAAGCAATTTGCTGACAACGCTTGGAGAATGTGATGCTTTATTAAATGAATCGATCTGCGATATCGCCTTTGCGATGTTCGGCGTTCGTGGCGTGCGTGCCGTGGCGTAAGCGTTTGTTTATTTGTAGTTTGTTGTGATGCAAGCGTGGTGCACGTGTGTTGGCGTGCGTACGTGCTTAACATGGGCGGTAAATCCGCGGGGGGATAGGGGGATGCATCCCCCCCGCTCTTGAAGGAGGGGCGATGGTTTCTCTGTACATAATATCGCCCGCCTGAGTATTCAAAAAAAAAAGCTCTTCCTCTCCGTGCGCCGGCACTTGAAAGTTCAGCTAATTATGATAATTTTTGAAAGACATGGCAGACGCTTAAATGCATTTCAATTACTGGCAGGGGCGTGTAGCAGGGGGGGAGGGGTCCAGGGGGTCGCGGACCCCCTCCCTGCTCGCGCAGAAATAAGCATGCTGAGGGGTCTAATTTCAAAAAAAATTTCTGGGGGATGGCCCGCTGCAGAGCCCCACACCTTCGCGTGGTCACTCCACACTCCTCGTAACGGAAAATTTACGGCCCACGGTACTTTAAAATGATTAGCAAATGATTAGTGTGATGATAGGTCTGCGAGTGTGTTATTAGTTTGTGTGCGGGTGCGATGTGTTGGTGTGTTTGTGAGGTTGGGGGGGTGCGTTGCCGTTTCCGTTTGTTCTGAGTGTGAGTAAAAAAAATATGTAAAAAATTCGTGTGTTTGTGGGGTGTGAATTGTGTGTTTGCAAAGTGGTGAGTGTGTGTTTGTGAGGTGTGAGTGTGTGTTAGTGCTGGCATGGGTGGTGTGTTTCTCTTCTCTCTCTTCCTGTTTCCGCCTTCCCTCTCACACGCCCTTCTTGGCTCGCCTTGCTATTTATTTTCTCGTTCCCCCTATTTAACTGACTATTTACATCATGGAGAAAGCAACCATTTACTCTGTCTTGTTATTCTTCTTTTCGAGTTCTCTTATCCGATCTCCTAATAAAGGCGCTACACATGTTCTTTCTAATTCTCTCTATGCTAACAGAAAACGAAAGACTTTACGACTCTCTCTCCTCTCTCCTCGGTGTCTCTCCCCTCTCTCTCTCGCTCCTCTCTCTCTCTCTCTCTCTCCTCTGTCTCTCCTCTCTGTCTCTCTCTTCTCGTCTCTCTCATCTCTCATCTCTCCTGTCTCTCCCCTCCCTCCCTGCCCTCTCTCTCTCCTCTCTCTCTCATCTCCTCTCTCGTCTCATCGTCTCGTCCTCTCCCTCTCTTCTCGTCCCTCCCTCCTCCTCATCTCCCACTCCTCTACTCGCCTCTCTACTCCTCCTCTTCGCTCCCGGCAGCTGCTCGTACAGGTATAGTATAGATAACTTTGCCGCGCTTGACTTCACGCCGTTCATATTTGCCTTGTCGTGCCGTAGTTGTCGTTTTCCTGCTCCCTATATTTGTATCTCTAATATTCGCAATTACTTTGCCCAAATGCTCGACTCGCTTATTGGCGTTTTCCCCGCTGGTGCAAATCACGGCCGCGACGGTTAGGCTTATATGCACGTATATATATATATATATATAAATATATTTATTTATTTATACGAACGGATTGATATTGTCCCATCATTAATTATATTACGCGCGCGCACGAGTGCGCAGCATTCGTGTTCCGGGGCATGATATTGCGGTGTAATTTCACGCGTGCCGTTCTAGAGTAACTACTTAAGTATCGTGGGCCGCAGGATGTTAAAGATTACTGTTGAAGTTTAGGCGTTAGGTACAATGCTAGTGTCATCACAGCACGCGCGCACCCCACGCACACGCGGAACGCACGCACAGACACCACACGCACGTAGCAGAACGACACACCACACCACACACTCCGCACAGACACCACGCAACACACAGTTAGCACACAGCACGCACACAGGGCTCGCGCATATACATCCACAGTCGCACGTTTCACGGGCACGTCAACATTGTCACACACTCACACGCAAACACCATACAACACCACGTGCACACAATCCCCACACACGACCACACACACACAATCACAATTCGTACACCATCATCCCAATATCTATATATAATAAATATATATATATTATATTATAATATTTCACTGCACTACCATAATGTATGCAGATTGTTATATATACATAGATCTTATTTATTTATATAGGCATAGCAGGCCGGTTTTCGCATGTACACGTGTTACACCGACTGAAGCGCCGAGATAAATTATCTGCTATACAGATTTAGAAAGCTCTAACTTTCGGCGCAAAACCCTGATCAATCGTGTAGCTATGTGCAGCATTTATCGTGCATTACCAATGCAAAACTCGTGGACTACTCGTTATCGACCGCGTTCTCTCCTTGCGCTACCGTTCATATAACACCTACAATACTCTTACCTAATAATCAAGTCTCGCAGCCTACACTCTTCTTCCCTAACGTGCTTATCTTGGAGCGCGCTGGCATTGAAGACACGCGCACGCCCTCGCACAATGCATATCGTCGTGTGTGCGTGTATGTCTGTTGCCGCGGCGCGTGTGCGCGCGCGGCGCGCGCGTGTGTGTGTTGTGTGTGTGTGTGTGTGTGGTGTGTGGTGTGGTGGTGTGGTTGTGTTGTGGTGTGTGGTGTGTGTGGTGTCCACTGTGTGTGTGTGTGTGTGTTGTGTGTGTGTTGTGTGTGTTGTTGTGTATGTATGTGCATGTGTGTGTGTGTGTGTGTTGTTGTTGTGTGTGTGTGTGTGTGTGGTTGTGTGTGTGTGTGTGTTGTGTGTGTTGTGTGTGTGTGGTGTGTGGTGTGGTGGGTGGTGTGTGTGTGTGTGTGTCGTGTGTGCGTGCGTGTGTAAGTGTTCTCTGTCTGTGTCTGTGTCTGTGTAAGTCTGCGTATGTGTATGTGTATGTGTA